ATTACTAACAAATACTCCAATTTATTGACCTAAATAAGTGTACAAAATACACTTATCAATAGTCAAATTTTTGGCATTACAATTTAAGACAATGCTATTTATACATTCAACTTGTACATTGTTATTGACATTGTATGATGTGTAAAAAATTTGACCATTAATTCTAATAGTTGTCATTCAAATAAGTGATCAGATAGTCTGTACATTACACAATGTCAACAAATACATCAATAATCAATAAAAGTATAAGTGTAGCGTGATTGTACAATTTAGTGGGCCAAGGCCGCACTCACGTAAAAAATGAAATGATTGATCATATCAAACATTCTGGATTCTCATTTTTGGACTCTTTATTATTTTCTTAATTAGCTAGATTTAACGGTGCAAAAAGAGTCTTTTCAAATTAAGCCCCAGTTCGATTCTCATTTTTATAAGAATAAGAATAAAAAATATAACTGTTACAGGATCCACACAAGAAAGATGAAGTCAAATATGGTAGATTGATGTAATGAATAATGGCAAAGGAGTAATTATTCGTAGAGTTTAAAGATTTTTGGATTCTCATTTTCGTGTCATAATTAGTTGAATTTATTGCGAAGGGACAATTCTATGGCGTATAAATGAGCGTATGTTCGATTTCGATGGCTAGTGTAGAACTGTAGAATTTCAATGGACTTAATGTTATATATCTTGATAAAATTTCAAAGTAAATAAATTATTGTATAACGTATTTTATTTGATGTGTCAATGTAATGTTATGTATCTTTATAAAATTTGATTGACTAAACGGTTTAATAGGGAATTGAACTATATTGTGTTTTTTTTTTACTTTTTGGACAAATTAATAATCGAAATCAATATATTTCATTTCATTTATGTATTATTAATTCATTTATTGTAAGTTCATGTCCCTATATTATTACATTCACTCTCTTATTCAATATCATGTGTCAAAACTAATGTTATTAGTCGTGACAAAACTGTCAGCAATTTAATATGGAATTGAACGAAGTAAAGATGAGTTAACTATTTTTATATTTTATATTTTGTTGATATGTTCTTCCTTTTTGAACAAATTAATAATAAAAATCAATATGTATTATTTCATTTACATATAGTTAATTTTTCCTTTAAAGTATTGAACGCTATCAAACATTTGTCCATCAGTAAACCCCAAAGTAATCTTAATCTCAAATGAGTTGGGTTTGTCTCAAATTAATCTTAAAATTGAGGAGTCAGCATTTTATTTTTTATTTTTTTTGTCTTTCTACCAATCTCAATATCAAAGTAAATAATTGTATTAACAAACAAACTTTCTTCTCACGAAGCAAGATAATTCTGAAAGAGAAAAGACAAATATTATCATGTAAACTAGATCTCCACTGTGCTCAGGAAAAATGTGTAACATATAAAAATTGAAATGATTTTAATAGGCAAGCATGTAGAAACACACCCATGTGCAAGGTTATATAAGGAAACCTTACTCTTCCTCCTCTCCAGAAGAATCTATTGATTCCATTGATGGTGTTTTCCTGGCCGGAAGAAGAAAACAATCAGAATGTTCGGCTCCAAAACATTCAAACTTAAGAAACACATAAATCTGCAAAATAAAAATTAGAGGAATCTGTAAATTGGTTACTCAATGATTGCTTAAAGTTTTATTATTCAATTCGCAAACAGACACCTGAAAAAGAAATTAAAAAAAAAATTAATTCGCAAATAAAAATTTATATGAAATGCAATTTTAATTCATAATAACTCAATGACTTCCACCCACACTCGAATCTCAGGAATAAAATCAATTTGATTTCCTACTGTTATTTCTAAACGAGTTGGATGCGATGGCAATAAGATAAATTCATCAAATTTAATATTCGAGTCGATTTATATAATAGAGTTGGAGATTAAAAAAAATAAAATCGCTGAACAAGTGTTAATATTCGAAAAATACAAGTTATTTGACAGATTTGAAAATATTAAACCCAAAATAAGAATTAAAATTAGATTAAGATATACCTGGATTTGATAAATTTGAAGCATTGGAAAAAGGCGTTGGTTCTCTGCAATTTCGCTTTGTATTCATCTTCATGCCCCCTTACTGAAGAACAATTGAACGAAGACTGAGTCACTGAAGAGGCAACTCAAGAGCAGAAGAGCTGCAGACTAGACTAGACTTCGAACGACTTCTCAAAGATTTTGGGAATCGGTGGTTGGAGGCGACTGGCGAGGAACAGGCACGGCAGATGGGCAGAAGGGCGGAGGTGAGTGGCCACTGACCTGAAGAAGACGACGCTGAGGTCAGTGGAGACGACTGTGGACTGGTGAGCACGTCGAGGCGCCGAGCAGATTTTGGGGAGTTTTTATTTTGGGAATTTTTGATTCAATTTCAGATTTTGGGAATTTTTTGTCAATTGGATTGGATATTGGATATGTGAATTGGGTTGGGTAAATATATTTGAAGGGTAAATGAATTGTGGGCTTGCTGAATAATTAGTTTGGGCTGCCTGGTCTTGTTCAGAAAAAAAAAAATTTATTGGACCAAAATAGGCCCCCTATGGTCCTGGGCCTGAGGCGCAGGCCTCATTCGCCTCGGCCCAGGACCGGCCCTGCCGATTATAATGTCAGACGATGAGTTTTATATGTTTAGCTGCTTAAGTGTGGTGGGATAAATTTATTATTTGTTTGTATTATTTCATGTTGAACATAATAAATAATCAAACATTTTGTGTGCACAGGCAGGCTTCAATAAACAATTTCATGTTGAACATAATAAATAATCAAACCTGTTGTGTGTACAGGCAGACTTCATATAGAAGCCTGCCAGAACACACACATGGAGGGGGGTGGGTGGAGGTTTTTTTGGCAATTTTTTATTCACAGTGAGTCTCACACATAAGAGTAATCTGGCCAAATTATGTGGAAAAATTTATGTTCAAATGGCTTAAGTGATATATATATATATATATTATTTTTAAGTTTAAACTATCATATACAGTGGCGGACACAAATATTTAGAGTTAGTGAGGCACAATCAAACTTAAAAAAAAATTACTAAAAATTTAGTATATTCGATATCCTATTACAATTGTTCTCTATACGTTTTAACGTTCCATAATTATATTATTTTCAATACTTTAAACCCAGATTTACGTTTAAAGTACTTTTCTATACTTGATACAAACAACCAATTAAAACAATTAATTCAAATAATCCGTTTATCAATAATCACAAATTTACCAATGAAAACAATCAATTCAATTGTTGTTTGATAATGAAAGGATACTTTTCTTTCTTCGTAATTTTGGAGCCTATTAAAACAATAACCACCACCACCACCACCAAAAAAATAAAGAATAAAAAATTTTAAAAAAATTAAAAATTTGTCTAGAGCTGGTGGGTCACTTGACCCACTAGGACCCAATGGGTCTGCCAATGATTATATACAAACATATTATTTTTAGATGTTTCTCACGTTCATATCCGTTCTTATAAGCTTGGCACAATGCGATACCAAATTAACTAACAACATAAACTCTTGAGGAGAGACATTTATTCATTTAAGCTTTTCTTTCAATGAACATGCTATAAGTGTTATACATTAAGTCTAATCAAATTTGGACATAAACACTTTTAATATATAGTTGATGCGATTTATAGTAGATCTATTATTTAATTAATTAATATTCAATTGAGTTAAATAATGGAGTCCATAGATTCAAATCTTGATAATTTGTTAATCACAAGAAATTGTGATTATGAGATACAAATTACATATAATTGAATCTTAAATCGTTTGTGATTGTAAGTAATAACGAGATACGGATATCGTTATTACGGATAGACCATCACATGAGGCATTTCTTACTTATGAAGTAAATAACTGATCTAACAAGTTAAAGTGTAGTGACACTTAAATGAACACATTTAATTATCTGAGTGTCAGTGATTAATCTCTAACGTTCGATAGTGAAATTGGTCCTTTGATTTCAGGTCATCATAGTACCTTATATGAGAACAGTTATACTTTGGTGATGTTGAATGTTGCTCTGCCAAGGACCGCTAACACGGCGTCGATCAGGTATATCAAGAATTATATGAAGATTGTGAATGATCAATAGAGGATTCATCACTTTTAGATAGTAAGAGATTATAATCTGCCATTTCATTCAATTAAATCGATAATGAAATCCTTTACCCAGGTGTACTCAAAAGTCGAAAATGAGTTTTCGACTTATATAAACTTAATAGTGGAATCAAAGATATGATCAATAATCGGGATTGACACATTTTCATATCTCGTAATTGATTGAATCATATTGACTAAAGGATTATAGTTTCAAGGTAAACGAACGAATTTGATTTTGTCATACCATGTGATATTTCCTGTTACATGTATTATCATGACACATTGCTAAATGTCAATTTGGAACAGCGAACGTGAGTATGTGATAAATTAAATGGATGTTTTAATTTATCGATTTTAATTATATCAAAATAATAATTCATGTCGTTAGGCATCGTAATTAGGAATCTGATGGGTCATACGCAAAAGGAAAACTGGAAGATTGTGTTTTACCAATTAATTAATTTAACAATTGTTGGTTAAATTAATTAATTGAGTTACTTATTTATTGAGGATTAATTAATTCATGAATCAGATTTAATTAAATGGGTTAATTAAATTTTGAATCGGATTAAGAGATGGGCCAGTTTGGGTTTGTATAAATAGGTAACTATGGTTTTGGATCTGTAGAGAAAAATCATTATTCTTGCTAAAAAAAACTCTAGTTGTCATAATTTGTTTATTTATGTGGATTACTATTGGAGGCTGGAGAATTGGACAGTTGTAGGTGGCAGATCGATATTGCTAGAACAAAAAGAAAAGCAAAAGGTTTGCAGTTCTCATCAAAGGTAAATTTTCTATCACAATTTTTATCTAAACACAAAGAAATCCTTGATGAGAATTGAAACCTGTTTTATTTTTCACTGCGCTTGATAAGTAGATTCCCAACACATGCCTCACTATTTTCGTACGTTCATCGACTGAATACATTGAACAGTTGATATGGCATTTATAAGCTCGGCTCGACCTCCATTTTTCTGCGCATAAAGAAGGGAGATTTATGCTTCAAATTCGGTACCTTGAATTGAACAAGCATCTTGCACGTTTATGTTGCTTAATCATATCCAATCCCGTTTAGCCAAATGCCCGAAACATCGCGCCGACACTTTTCTTATATATTTGCATAATCTGCAGGCTGATAAGGAGAAAAAATCTCTGACAAAAACCATTTCTTCCTCATATGGTTACAGCCCATATCTCTACACAGCTGATCATTGCAGTATATTTGCAGCATTACACTAACGCAAGCTCTTTTGTAGTTTTCACGACTGTATTTCCTCATACATTTTTCCCATCTTTTGGCATCCTCTTCCATTTCTTTTATGACTGGTAATTTAAATTTTCCCGCAAGAAAATGTGCAAGCCATTTGCTTCTTAGTTCAGTCGTAAACAATGTAGCAGGACTCTCTGAATATCCAATTATAGCCAGATGTGGAATTCTTGGATGGATGCATTCCCTGCAAGTTTTGCAAATGGCTATAAGTTCGAATTTAAAACGACCAATATTGTGGATTTGGGTATATTAAGCACTATGAACTGAATACAGTTGAGATAAGAACAAATGGATAGAAACCTTTGTTTTTTTTTTTTTTTTTTTTTTTTTTTTTTTTTTTTTTTTTTTTTTAATTTTTTTTTTAAAAATATAAATTTAGAGTTTTTAATTTAAAAAAAAAAAAACAAATCATAAATCTTAATTTTGATTCGTGTTCCCAATAAATAAAAGAGAAGAAATTAAACCCTAATCCTCCTGTTGCCTTGAAGTAATTCAATGCAAAAATATTTGAGATCTTTTCATCGCTCTTGTATCCGGTTGCAAAAATGACAATATCGGTCTCTAGAGGGTCTACCTCGTCATCTATAATCAGACCGGTTGTACAGAAGCAGAATTTACGTGATCTCTTTAAGATTAGACTGCCATCTTCGACTCTTTCGTAGAAGCAATCTGGCAAGACTGTAAACATGCACGAGTATATTTGTTTTAGGAAGGTATGGTCCGGGATCATATTGTACTTCTTCAATGGATAGATCCATCTAAGATAGCACTCGATCAACTTTGTGAATATCCAACGCTGAAACCATATATTAGATCAATAAATGGAAAGAATAAAATTGGGATTTTCGGTTTGCAAATGAATGACAGTTGTTTAATTTTTAATTGATTAGTACTTAAAATGGTGCGAGGTTATTCTAAGAAAGCAATAACATAACATTAGGCAGGGGAAAGTAATTACCAAAGGTGAAAGCAAAAAAGCCAACAACCAGAGAACGAGCCCTTCTTGCGGCTTATGGATCATAAGCTCTGAGAAACGATTCAGATTTCGGAAGGTAAGTCGAACCAAGTTCTCAGAACCTGACCACTGCACTCTCCTGAAAAGTAATGTGCACGGATGCCTTACTCCTAGGAAATGCAAATAATCATATTAGTGTCTCGAGGACATGTTCAGTACACAATTTTCACTTTTTTCTTCTGCAACCCTATTCTATTTAGTACTGTCGAGTCTATCGCAGCATTCATGCCCTTAAAGCATTTTTGTGATACACAGGACTATGTCCCGCAGGGTCCTAGTGTAGGCACGATTGCATCATAAATTACGTTTGATCAAACACGAATAGATTTAGGTGATACACTACCATTTGTTTTAGAAACTTGTGCTGCAATATCCAGTGCTGATTTTTGGAAACCAACAACTGTGACTCTCTTGTCTTTGATGAATTCAACTGCCTCAATTTTGTTCATTGCAGCATAATCCATGGAGTGTATGACTTTTCCCCTAAACACCTCTGGCCCTTTTCTTTGTTCGAAATGTGGGATCTTCGGCAGATCACTGAATTTTCCAATGCACAAGATCACAAAATCAACTTGATAAACCTACCATTATCAAAGTTCTCAATGAGAATTTCCAGAATATAGAAATCCAAGAAAAAATATTAGAAAAAGTACCTTAGGTGCTTCAAGAGGATGCAGCACATCCTGTACAACAACGTTCCATTTCCCTTTTGGCGAAAAGGCTTTACCAGTTCCACTCCATAGCTCCCAGGAACACACCTCATCTTCATTTGTTGACAAGTTTTTAATGCTTACAACCTTAGAGTTGAACTCGATTTGCGTAAAAATACCAAAACGAAGAGCATAGGATTTGATGTAATCCATCACTTGGCTTTGATCAGGGAAAGTTTCTTTGACTGAAAGTGGCCATGAAAGATCTGAGAACTGATAGTAATTCTTAGGAGTTTGCAGTTTAGTTGAATCGATGGTGCTGGACCACACTCCTCCAATTCCATTTCGAGCCTCGAAAACTACTGGATTAAAACCCTTTTCCATTGTATGTTTGCATGCAAGAAGACCACTGATTCCAGCACCTACAATGGCTATTTTCTTCTCCATTTTTGGTTCACATGATGACATTGAAGAACTCATTTTCTGGAAGACACCGACTGATATGGTTATTATATTTCCTATGATACTAGTCAATTTATAGACCAATACCTTAATTCGCCTGCGTTAGTTTTCATCTTTATTTCAGTTTAGGCACTGCGTGAGGAAGTAACGCAATTGCTAAAGAAAAAATGGCATGGCTTAATTAACTCATTTCTCTTCGTTTAATATAAGTGAATGCAATTTCTCATAAAATAAAATAAAAACTGCAAAAAACTCTATTAGTGAACCTACAGTGTTGATTCACTTTCGTCACCAAATTTTTTATTTTTTATTTTTTATTTTTTTTTTTGTGGTTCCAATCTAGTCATTGAAATATTTGTTAACTATAATTCTAATTTTTATTGTTTGGCAGTAAAATCCAAGTCTGACTCACATGTGAACTTGACTTTCCCATATAACTATGACCTTGTCTGTGTGGACATGCATTGGCTTATCTTTCCAAGAAGCATATGGGATTCAAATAAAAACATAGTTTGCAGAGGCACAGTAATTATTTTTGCACCCTCCATCGATTGGAAGAGGCACAGTTGAGATATATGTAAATCCAATTTTTTGTTTGGTATCGATCCCGTGTTGCCTGTTTCAACTTGAGACGATGGATTTAATAGACCACAGGAAATCAAATTCCAGACGGAAGTAAGGACATGTTTGATTTGTTTAACAAGATGTTGATTGTTGACTAGAATAAAGTCAGTTATGCATGATTAAAAACAAGGAAAGAGAAGACTGACCGAGGTGGCGCCAAATGGTTAGGTTTTCTTGTTTCAATTTTTCAAACTGTCCAATAGCAGGATGACAACATTTTTGAGCCTGTTTTTCACCCTGAATGTGGAGCACAGTTGTTGATTATCTTTTGTTTTTTAATGTAGCGTAGTACAATGCACCTTACCAAATAAGCCATTAAATTTAACAAGAAATAGCCTGTAAGAATTTTAAACATTACCTTATTTCTCTCGTAAGTCCTATGGAGTCCCGAAATTGCTGCCGTGTTAGAGCCGTGATCTCATCTCTAACGAGGTTATGACTCATGGTCATGTTTGAGTCTAAGGAATATGTAAATGATTATTACTTAGTTGAACATTAATTCCAAATACGCATTAATAATTACTATTCATTATTAATTACACATTTCATCTGACAAACTGTTATTCCTCTTTATAGACTATTTATAAAGAGGAATAATAGCGGGTTCCGTAATAATGAGTGAAAATGACAAATATGTAGTTAAAATTATCTTTGATTTCGACTAAATTTATAAATCAATTTGCAAATTACCAAGTCTTTCAA